CATTCAACATTAGAGAGTGATGGAGTATAGACAGGAGAGAAGAGATTGAGACAATGGCAGAAAAACAAAAAAAATTAACATGACATGTGGTATTTGAAATAACAGAATTGATGGGGAAAAATAGACATGTGGGAACTAGAACAGGGAAACTGGCTCCGTATTTTGTGGAGAGCGATGGGGAAGGCATTCAGTGAGCGCTGCAACAACCCCAGTGAGAACATTCTGTAACCATCAGCCTCTGCACGCCAAGTGATCAATTTGATAAAATGCACTTTGGTATCAGTGAGTCACAACATGCCATTAGCTAGACATCACTGTATGAATTCGTGCCAAAGCATTTGAATGTGTATGTGCACTCCAGCGGGGCCTGATCAAATCATAAACCCAAAAATAAAGGCTGCCATTCAGCAAGATAGTCACATCCCAATTAGTCCATATAATAACAAGTGTCTCGATTAGAGGCATTTCAAGACACAGCAGCACATAGAAATTACACTAGGTATTTGACGGGGGTAATTTAGTGGGAGTGACACCGACTGACCAAAGATTATTCTGAATTAAAGACCAGTAAATTTTAGACAAACCAGTTAGTCTAACTGTGTGTACCTCTTCTAAATGTGGACAATCGCTGGAGATAAAAAGTTGAGCAATAGATCAAATGACAAAGAGGTTAGAGAAAACCAGCGCTGCTTACTATCATTTCTTTACTGAACTCTACTGTCCACCTCAGCCTGCTAGTGCTGGTGTGTGACTGTGAAAGATTATTTTTAATAAAATAACATTTAAGATTCACTCTAACACCACTGTAAAACTGCGAATGGACTGTTTCTGTAGTCTTAACAGCTTCAACAGAGTGATCCATCTTCTCTCTGGCAGAGTGTGTCACTTCAATTTCAGGAGTCACTTTCCTAGTTAACTTTTATTCATATCATATCAACGATGGAAGCTCACCAGCAAGGTTTTGGGCCTTCAGGGTCCTTAGTATCTGGCTCAAGTAGATCACGGAAAAATAAGTTGTGCCAAATTTAGAAGGCTGCACATTCAGGCTGTTATTTAAATGCGTCAGATACACATTTAATCAACATTTAGGTAAATTTAATATAATGATATATATCAGACCGTGTACGCAGGATAAGCGGTTGACGATGGATGGATGGATATATATCGGACAAGTATCGGTTCTGACTCTTTTTCGGCAGACACCCAATATTAAAAACTTTGAACAGGGTTGGACATCCCTACTGCTTACCTTCACTGGAGGGGGCTATGGCACTGTCATCCCACTCCAGGTTGGTGGAGGTGAGAGAGGTGAAGGAGTGCAGGGACAAGCTGTCTGAGCTGGGCAGCCTCTCCTCAAAGTCCAGCAGGTTGTGGGGTTTGTAATATTCAGGCATGTAGGGGGCCACGTCCAGATAGGGCACATCCTGAACCAGTAGGACCCAACAGAAACATTACGGACATGCTGATCACATTTAGGAGCTGAATTTCTATTGAGCAAAGAAATATATGCTAACCAGCTCCAGATCAAAGCGAATGAACTCAAGGCCAGACACCAGGGTGAGGAATAGCGTGAGGTGGTCATGACTGCAAACCAGTGCATTCCTAGTGGACAAGAAAATCACTTAGCTTCATGTGAGAGAGAGGCAAACATTTAGTCACCACAAAATACAATAATATATCAATTTATTCTCCAGCATAACAACAAAAAGCAATTCCATAAATGCAATCCAACTTCCAGCTGTTACATAGCATCAGTTTGTGAATTCACATCAGGGTTTCTGCATGACTTACTTGAAATAATACTTCTGCAGTAATCCTTGGTTCTCCTGGAAGAGGCGCAGATAGCTCTCCAAAGAGCTCTCACTCAATGCCAGGTATAACCATGCACGGCCTATGCAGAAAGGAGAAGAGTTTGTTTCTATGCATATAACCCACTGAAAGATGAATGATGCTCTACCCCCCAAGTGCTGTACGTGTTGAGTGTGTCTGACTGTGTGAGAGAGATGTCTCACTTCGACCAAGGTTGGTTGCTATGTGCTGAAGCTCATCTATCTGGCGGACAGCCTCTCTCCTAGTGAAGTGAAGGACCAGGATCCAGTAGCCTGAGGAGATGTCCTGCAGCCTGCAATGTAGAAAATAGCTAATAATATCACATGCATGAGGCCAAGAGAGGCAAGGGGAGCAGAGAGATGGCACAAGAACTTAATTTTCACAGCAATGTAACAGTAGTATCCACACCTAGATCAATGAGGCTAGTACATATGTCAAAAATACTAGAATAATAGGATTCATAAAAAGAGTTTTTGCATGAAAAATAAAAGCTATTCAGAATACTATCTTCTCCTATGCACTTTTCCTCTTTCAAGTGCACAATTTATTTCCAGTAAGCCTCTTACCCATACAACAGAGCATGGTCAAGGTGTTCACAGAGGCGCTGCAGGACCCGGTCATGATTTCGGATAGCTGGAGTCTCATCTTCACAGGCCGCAAAGTAACTCTGCAACTGTAGAGAGACAGGGTTTCTCTGCTGTTTTTTTGCTGGGGAGAGGACAATTTTATCTCCAATTCCAAGTATAATAGTGCTACTACTATATCTCAAGAACTGACTGAATTTGAAAAGTTATCACAAAGGACCGGGGGGGGGGGGGGGGGGTTTAACATTATCCCCTTGGTTTAGGGCCATATAGCAGCACAAAGATCCTACAGTGCAACATACAGTCAAAGCAACTAAGGAATTTAGTGCTAAGCAGTGGAATGCTGCTGATCTAAATCCAACTGAGGTTGTGTTTTACTGCTGTGATTCCAGTGTGGAGGAGCTCCTTGTATTGCAATTTCACTGCTGAAGACCAGACTGACCCATTAAACCCATGGAACAAACAGTAAGTGAAGTTGGCTGCAGCATAAGTCTGACAGAGCATCACCAGGGAAGATAACAGGCTGCTCTACTGAAAGGTACCACTTGCATGCAGATGATGCTAAATGTGTTTCATTATGGTCCACCGTCCTACAGTGTCCTGCAGAACCCTCTTGAACTTAAGGAACCCTGAGTAATGTGACCCAAAGACAGAGAATTTGTATCCTGTGACTATATCCACATGACTAAGCAATGTTTGTCCGAGGTAAACACTGTACACTTTCTTGGAAGCTTGAGGCATATTATTTCATGAGCACATTCATGGTCCTTCTGTAGTCATTTGGACTTAAAACTATTAGACAAATGTGGATAAAGGAAGTAAGACACAATACTGGGCTCAGTGCATTAAACCCACTAAGATGGGTCTTTCTATCTTTTTGGTAGACTCTAATGGGAAATAACAGAGACAGATGAGAAAGCCCGTGCAAAATAAAAACTCAAATGCACATGTCCTGGAAAAGTGAATGTACTAAGATGCAGGGAGAGAGGGGGGAGGTTGCAATGTTGTCTATCAGGTTATGAGAAAGGTAATTTCGCAACACCAGGCATAGCTGGAACAAAAATTGTTACACATTTTAAAGCTGAAATGGAATTTAAGAGCAACGATCTATTGGCTAACCCTTATGTTGCAAATGTGTGTCCGCAGTATGGCTGCAAGTGTGTTTACAACATATGCGGCAGTGAGCAAACACAGGAGCTTGGTGCAACTATTGTTCACCATGGTCAGGAAAAAAAGAAAATAGAGCATGACAACCGAAAACTAGAGCTGTAAAACATAAAAGGTGAACTGTGGAATTGTAGGGAATCGTGTATACGTTATTTGATTACATGAGTAATGCCAAGGCCCCTCCATGACAGTGAGCTGGTAATGTCCCCCCCACTAGAAAGTTGCCTTCTTGAGAAGACAAAAGATGACCTAACGTTTGCTACAGTAATTCAAGCATGTGAAAATAATTGACAATATTTCAGCGTGGTGACCAACCGGACAGCGCTTACCTTCTTGACAGACAGGGAGATGTTTTCCAATATGCGATCCTTTACTTTCAGTTGATCCATCACTGGACTATTGGCAGCTTACAGCAGGCTGTCAGCTGACTCCCAAAGCAGAGCTCTTGTTATGCTAAAGCTAATGCCGCCCGCTTTGGCTTTCTAACATTATCTTACCATACAGTTTTGGATGTCAATTGTACACATTGAATTTGGCAACGCCGCTAGTTCGCAGCCGTAATGGCTAAGCAAGCAGCGTGACAAGTCAACCTGTCAACGGACCCGGTTAGCCAAGTAATGTTTCCTAGCTTCGCGTTAGCTATAGCCACTTGACTTTTTCCCAAACGCTACTCAGGAGGGCGGTAGCTAGCAAGTTTTGGATACGTTTCAACAGCAGTTTTTTGCTCATCATACTCTCCGTTTCATTACTCTGGTTAGCTAATGTAAATATAAGTCACGTATCTGCTATTTGCCCTTACGTCAAAGTCACGGAGGCTCAGTCTACTTTCTGTGCTCCTGACCTAAACTGGTCTGAGTCTGGACTCCCACACCAGTGGATTACGTCACCACTAGCCGCTTTAGTAACTATGAATGAAGGGCGTTGAAATGTTTGTCAGTCACATGAAATATGACTTGACTTTTAATCATCACGATGATATTTTGAATTCGGCGCGCATGCAAGACTCCATGTTTGAACTTACTCATAAATTAACCTGCGTTTTGAATTGGCTCCCAGTATCCTTCTCATTCACTTCATGTACCTAGGCGGTTCACGTGGAGGAAGCTAAAGCCCCGATTAAAGAAGTCAGACTTTCCATTTACACTGTATGCTGTAATGCATAGTGAGAGGTAGTTTATCAAAATTCATGAAAAGGTCTTTGGTCATGTTGTATAAGATGTGCATGTTTCGTTTCTTGCAAAGCAGCTGCACCTTTAAAATGACCGTATTTTTAAACTGGCATGCATACTATTTATTCATACCAACATCTAACAACACTATGTTTAACACAAAGTAAAACGTCATCTATCAGGTCCAGGGGACAAGGCATTGTGAACACAGCACAATTATGTCATGTCTCAGAAAGGACAGGAATTTCCATTGAGTGGAATGTCAATTTTTATTGTTAAGATGACTCCCAACTTTTTTGGAAACACATTAAAGTCTTATCAAATACAAATGAACAGTTCATCAGTGCATGTAGTTAACCATTAATCTTTCCTGATTGACAAAATGTGGGTCAAATTTTAATATGGATTACATTATAAAGGAAAGGCAAGTGCTCTACTTAGGAGATCATTTTATTTTATCAAATGTAAAGCAACTTTACATAAATGCTGACTCAGTTCATGACATTTACAGGCCTTTGAAAACAAACAAACAAAAAACCCCATCCACTACATTGTGTTACAGTCAGCACCCCTTTTGGCCTCAGGACCCAATTAGTTGAGTGCCCCAATAACCGAACAGAAACTGTATTTTTACAAAGGACAACAGTCCAAGTCCCTGCATGAAGATTCAAGCCATCAAGACATTCAATTTCAACTCTTCACACCAGAAGTTCTGTTCTATAATCTTGTTATCTTCCCCGCTGTTTCTTTGCTTTAGTCTGACTTCTCCTTCTCTTTCATGTGCAGGAAGACTATGCTGAAGACAAAGAGTCCAGCCATCATGGAGAAAACGCTGGCATAGTATGGATAGGCTGAGGGGATGAAGCGCTCATACTGAGTGTGCTGCAGGGGACGGACAGATACCTGTGAAAGAAAAATGGTAGAAGTTAGCCCGTCATACATTAGAGCATGGTTGTTAAATGCAATACAAGTAGAAGGAACTTCTGCCAAGCCACAGTATTCAAAAGGTAAACTTTTAAAATAGTGCATGAAGGTTTTGGAATGATTTGATCTCTAGTATTTCTACACACATCACATCTGCATTTATCACTTTACACGCATGGAGATCACCATACAGCAACCATACCAGTATTTAATTAGGTAATTAGGGTATGCCCTAATTACCTAATACGTGAAGTAAACCTGATTAACTTGCCTGAGTGGAGGAGTAGAGATGTGTGTATCCCAGTCGGTTGTAGTCCACCTTAAACTGGAAGACTCCGTACACATCAGGCAGCTTGAACTGGACGCTATATTTACCTCCTAGAAGACAGACAGACAGACAACACAGCATTTATAGTGGATACAGTTTGTGACGGCAAAGGTGCATCTCAAACCCCCAAATCACAAGGATACAATGCATCTAGTTTGTAAGCATTAAGTCAAAGTAATTCTGTATTTGTTTCATAACCACAGCAACGTACCATTTTTCTTGAGATAAGTCCTGACGAAGGGATCTATCCTCACAAACTCAAGCTGAATATCATCTCCGTCGAAGGGAACCCAGCGGCCCTCGGACAACATCTCAATGACAATGCTGTACTCCTGCATGGGAAGGTTTCACACTGAATGAGAAATTCACGTAAAAATACACAGCTGCTCACTGAGGCCAAGACAAAACATCTTCAGGGTGATGATTGTTCACATAAGTCACTTAGCTTTTAAACTCACCACAAGATCTGTGATTGTGTATGCCGCGGGGGGAGTGGTCTCTCCAACAGGATGATGGGTGACGGCTCCTACTCTGAGGACTCCGGCCTCCTTGAACACCCAGCGTGACAGAGCCTCGGCCAGCTCCATGTTCCCTGTCTGCTCGTACCTAACAAAGACGACGACAAGAAGAGGAGTGCGTCAACCACAGGATAACTGGACAATACTGAATTTTCATGAAAATAGAAATGTAATTTAGTCCAATGAGAGTTGTTCACCTCTGATGGGATGCAGTTTTGTACGGAAGCGCATTGCATTCACCAAAGAAAAAAAAATTGGAAGCCTTATCTTCCAAGGTGTCGTTTGTATTTTAAACACGTTTTGCTTAGGAGTTATTGATCCCAGAAGCTCAAATCTGTGAATCTATTTCCAACTTTACTGAACTCAGTAATAAATGGCACCTTTCCAGTCATCTCTAATTACGAGATCTTTTCTCATAATTACGAGATCCGGATCTCATCTTATCTCGTAATTATGACATCTTTAATTACGAGATCCTGATCTCGTAATTATGAGATAAGGCTTCCAATTTTTTTTTTCTTTGGTGAATGCAATGCGCTTCCGTAGTTTTGTTTCATTACAGAATTTTGAACAACTGAACAATATTTTATTGTTTGTGTGTCGAAGAATAAGAGTACATTTAAACACTACAGATTTGAAGCAGTTTAAATAATTCTGAAACGTTACCCCTTTAGTTCTGTTTGAACATCAAAACGTCTATGTTTTATTTTCTGCTAATTAGCAAAAAAAAAAAAAAAAAAAAAAGGAGTTCCAACCCAAGGCCAAATCATCAGAGTGCACTAAGAAATGCTCAGCGGTTGTAACAGTGTTACACTACTACGTTAACTATACAGGTTTTAAATGTAATTCCTTAATACGTATTCAAAGAAAATGTAAGTGATGAGTTAAAAAAGTAAAGTACACACAAATGGGGACATTTCTCACCAGAGAAAAGTGATTTAAAATGTGCGGAGCTGCAGGTTTAAGGCAACCTTCTAGGGCTTTTAAGACACTGAACTGCAAGTATCTCAGTACTCTGTAAGGACTTGCAAATGCCTGCATTAAACATGGTTGAGTAGTAACACAACACCTGTTCACATGGCAACAAATCTGACAGTAGTTAAAATGTCACCGGTGGCAGTTTTGATTTTGTAACTGGAAGCTGTAATATGCTCCAATGGACAGAAAACTGAGGGATGTAAGGAAGAAGACTACCTCTGGGAGCCAGGCGTGGCTTTCTGCACAGCAGAGTTGAAAAAGGCGTCACTGAAGAAGTCCAGGGAGCCGCTGAAAACCACTCTGGCATTGTTTCTGGCCTGAAGTCCAGCGATCAGCAGGGTGTTCTTGCCAACAGCATGGGGGTACTGGAGAAATAATGATAACAATCATTAGTCAGAAACGGAGCACATTCTGTTAAATCTTAAATCTTGTGTAGTTAATTTCTAATTTGAAATATATAGACTACCATACAGAGACACTTTCATTTCCAAAGCTGAGGAAAATATAATTGGATTTCCTCTCAAGCCGCCAGTAGTTAAATTCCCACCTGTTTGTCTTCTGGCAGAGCTTCAGAGAATAAGCTGCTCCCAATCAAACTCAGTACACAGGAGGATTATTATATCACATGGGTGTATTTCTTTCTGTATAAAGATAACATAATTGTTTTTGTTCAGTGATCTTACCTGAGAGATAGGTCTGTCAGGGAAAAAGGAGTAGGAAGTAGAAGAGCCAGTAAGGATGTCCAGGACCAGAGGGTTCTCTGGGTCTGCCACCATGCTGGAAGGTAGGGGGAGCGTGGCATGTTAGTTACATTTTATGTGGCTTGCGTTTGCTGTGAGTGATGTAGTTAATCTTTGAAAATTACTGAACAGATGCAACATCAAATACTATATTTTTTTATATAGCACCCTTCAAGCTTAAGCACAAAGCGTTTTTTTTTCAAAAGTCTCTGCTACAGTCAAGTAAATATTTGGCGAGTGAATTTCTTTGCTGCTTCTTAATACTATAATTCAAAGGGTAAATACCTAGATATGCAATGTTTTACCACAAGCTAAAATGATGGCTATTAGTACTACTTTGTGTTTCTATTATATTTCAAAATAATAATAATACATTCTGTGAAAATTTGCAAATTGCTTATCTAATTGAACAAAGTGGAGAGGAGTCTCTATCCTCCCCTGACAATGCCTGTGTAAACTTCATGTATTATGTAGTTTATAATGGACTGTGGTGCAGAAACAGTGAGGCTTACATTTTCCCGTTATCTGTCAGTGGTCATACTTGATGCACTAGATGTGATAGTTTTTGAGATGTTCTTCATTTACTTTTCTATGTTAGTCCAGATGAGCCAACCCTCCCAAGATGCAACAAAATGTATGATTACAGTACAGTAAAATAATGTATGAGAGGACAACGCCAATGCCAGATTTCAGCACCCTCCCGGATTCAGTATATTAGGATCATTTAGTACTCCATGTGATCCAGTGGAAATCTTGGTTGTTGCCATTTAAATCGTGTTCGGATGTGCTTACCCAACACCCTTGAATAAAACAGGTTTATTGGTGGGTTTGCCGACAATAGTTGGTGCTTTCAGCAGGTTCTCTGGATCAGCAACAATCAGAGTGTGCTGGAGACAAGAAGGGACACTTGTAAATACTAACATGAAATGCAAGTTCTAAAGACTGGATTTGTCAAACAAACTGGATGTGCCTGCTGTCTGAACAGAATTCTGCTTACCTCTCCGGGGTCAGACACGTCATAGTGGTGATGGTCAATGACAGCAGTCTTTTCCTCATCAAACTCGATGCCACACTCACTACCCAGCTCCCTCAGAGGGTCACCTGTGTAACATGAGAATGGCATTAATATAGGCAATAGACAATTTTATGGCATTTCATATATTATTACAGCAAAGGCTTCTGGAACTCAACTGACCAATATCTGAACTGGCAGCAACCAGGACGTTGCCTCCACCATCAATAAAGGATGTAATAGTCTCCACATTTATATTTCCTCCAAAGTCTGCAGGTGACCAAAATGAAATAACATTGTAAAACAATGTTTCAACAAGGAAAACACAAGCCATAGGATGGTTAACTTGATTTTGAATTAACAGTGTAAAATTTACCCTCAACAGATGGTGAAAAGATGATTAAATGGTCATACACGAACTGGCCATATTTGATCAGAGTTAGGGAAGGATCATCAGCTGTCTTGAATGTGATGTCAAAGCCACGATCTGAAAAGGAGACATAGATTATAAGCAGCACTGAAACATACTGATCATGCATTTCAGCAGTAACTTTAACAAAGTGGCAGTGCACTGCATTAAAAGTTACCAAGGACTCGGAAGCTCTATAACTCCGTTGCTATAGCTCTATTAATATTTTGTAAGCACTGACGTCACAGACAATAAAACTATATACCTGTGATTATAATTACAAGTTTCAAGGGACACCACCAGTATTACAAAAACGCTGTATTTTCAAAATCATGTATTAATTTATCATTTTTCGTTATTCTTATTCGAATTGTTATGATGAATTGTTAAGCCCATTTACAACATATCAACAGGATACTTATTCATTTAGGATAACGTGTTAACATCCTGTGAACAACCTTATGTATATTTGAAATATATAACGTTAGCCCCGATCTATTGCATTGGGCACAATTTAATTTATTAGAAAAAATATTCTAATAAAACTATTTGGTTTACTGTAAAAATGCCGAAATGGAGGGTAGTCTGATTCACTGCAGTGCAAGTTAAGAATACACTAAAAGTTACCCTTCTTTTGTTTTTTTAAAAAGTACATTAAACTGCCCGAAGCTTGAATAGAGTTTGGCAAGACCCAGCGTACACAATTAAGCTAAGCTATAATGTTAGCATGTGCAACATAAAGCTCAGGTCTACAAGCCCAACTCCCCATGGCTCTATATTCCCTGCCGGAGACCTGAATGCAATACAAGGTAGATCTAAATCAGTAAAGCGGGTTGTTTTTATGGATGAAAAACCACGAATCACTGACCTGCCAGACTGCGGAAGAAGATTGAATGGGTGTCTCGGATGTTGAGGTTGTCCAGCAGAACCAAGGTTTTGCCGTCAGCCAGAGCACAATGCAACATGGAGGCTAACGAAAGGAATAAAAGGACACTGTTGTCCAAAAGTCTGAACCTCCTTTGGGTCATCATTCCTGTGCGTTTTTTGAACAATGATGAAGAACTGGACCGGTTCGTCTGCATGACTTCTGTCAACGACGCCATTTTGCAGCAGAAGTCGACGTCAGCGTTAGCAGTCGACTTAACTTTGACCCCGAGATCCAGCCAATCACTGAGAGGAACGCGTCGCGCTGACTGTCACTGCACCAATGGGATGAAAGCTTTATTATAAGACAATCACGGAAGACTGGTAAGAATACATTTTTAGGTACTAAAATGAGAATTTCCACCAAATTAATTGAATTAACCATTACCAAGATCAATAGTTCTATTACTATATTGCGAGTTAAAATAAAGTGCCACAATGACTTAAAATTCTCAATAGATTTTAAGAGATGCAGTATGGTTGCCATTAACTTGGCTGAAAACAACCATCTAAATGCAATTAATGTGTAAAACATGTTATTATGCTATAATTCTGTAAAGTACCTTAGTTTCCTTATGGGATGTATACATTTTATTACTTAATGCATCTGGAGCACACATTTCCAAAACACATGATGTTCAAGGAATTCCATGAATAATGTAAACTCTAAGGGAAAAAGTAAAAGTACATTGTTTTATAATAACAGCACAACACAAGGCTGGACAATCTGTGTGATAATTGTTTATTAATCAGATGATGACTTCCAGTGAGTCTAAGCAATGTTACTGATATTAAACAGGGCATGCTGCATGTGTTAATATAAACAAACTAGTGCCATAAAACCATTGGTGGCAGGGAACTGTCTTCATACCATGTGACCAATTTACTGCAATACCAAAAGCTGTCTTGGTATCAACGTGAAACTGAGTACAGCCAAATATTTTGACTGGGTAACACGGAAGTCTATATTTAAGTTATATTAGGTCAGACAGAATTGATCTACATGTTTTATACGAAGAACAATGCATAGTCCTGCATTTCAGTCTAAAAATAAACTATACAAAGTAATATATTCATCTCTGAAATAAATCCCAACAATATTTACCAAATCACTTGATCTCACACCTCATTTCCTGGAATAAGAACTGCAATAACATGATTTTTGACCATACACCCTAATATAATTCTGTTTAATAAGTGTTGTATCTTATGAATCCAGTTCAGATTTATTTTTAACATCATGGCATGTTTAAACTATGAGGCTTCATCAACTCACTTTTCTTGTATTTCCTGTTCCTGTATAAATTCGATTTCTGTTGCAACCAATGTTACATATACTCTTCACAAAGCTGCACCACTATGCCTGACTCTCACATTCAGTCTCCTCTTCTTTCTCCTCCTCTACCTCTGCTACAGCTTCATCCTTTCCCTCTGTGTGGAGCTCAGTGTTGGTTTCCACCTCTCCGCCCTCATGATTCCCCCCTCCCGACCCTTCTTCTTGTCCTTGTGTCTCCCTCGCCATCGCTCCTTCTGCCTCTCCCTCTCCATCCTGCGCACGGAAGATCAGCTCTCCTCCCTGGATGACCTGTTCAGATGTGGGTTGCCATGTTGTGGCAGAATCCCCCTCAGCGGTAGTGGTGGCTGTGGTGTATTGGTAGAAGTCTGAATCTGCCTGAAACATGACTAGGGCCTGAGCTGTGTGGATGCGTACGTGCTGGGCTAGGGAGCTGCCGTCCAAGAATTTATCACCACACGAATCACAAGCATACAAGATCTGGGTGTTGGGGTCTGGGAACAAAAGGAAGGTTGACAATAAGCCATTCACATTTCTCATACTGTATTCCCTTTAAGTTACACATTCCCACCTGGAAGGTCTGACTACCTCTTTTACTTTAAGTGATGAAACTTAACCCAGCAGTACATAATCTCATACATATGTTGTTTAAATTTTGTATTATTTTATTTTCCTTGACAGTGAACAACACTGACAAAATAAAACACTGACAAAATCCTTCTCTCAACTGCTGTTGCTTTTAGGCCGGCATGGTATAGTTAATGTGAAAAGTCTTTAAAATGCTTAGATAAAATGGAAATTTGAACATCTCCATTTCCATAATAACTGGACAAACTCTGTCTGCTGATCAAAATCACAAGATATCATGAAACCTCCTGAACAGATTTCAAATAGAAGGTTGTTTTCTCAACATCATGTCACTTTTCTTATTTTAATCAAACTTCTCATCATGTTGCAATGCACTAGTGCAACCACAAATTTACACAAATGTATAGTTCACTGATTTTCAGCTGAGAATCACCATGCTAATATATCATATAGCATACAGTCTACAACGTCTAAATAGGGCTTTTAACAAGCCCCATTTCTCTGAAATGTGATGACTGTTGATGCTAAATACTAACTCAAGCAACATACATATTCAGCCCAAATACAGATGGTGATTTAGTATGGAATACTGCTGCGGCACCATTGCACTCAACGTGTTCATGTATGAATTAAATTCCACTGCGGCATCCTAAACTCTCAGCCACCCAAACCCTCACCACAGCTTTGCCCTTTAAATACAATATAATCTTTTTAAATTTAAAAGGTTTCATGTGTAACGTTCAGAAAGTGGTGGCCGTTAACTGAACTGCAGTCAGCATACTGTTGCTCACACTCTCACTATAAGTGTTATTGAGCATCATCCTGGGCACTGGCCATTGACATGACATAAAACTCTGCTGAATGCTGAAATGAGCACAGGATGCTGTAAAATAAATTACAATTATATTTAGAATAACATTAGTATTTTCATTAGTATGAACCTCACAATCATGCAATATATACATTCCTAACATTAGGTTTTTTTGTTTTGTTTTTTTTCCATTTCTTCCATCCCATGTCTGATATCCTGTTCTAAATGCCACTAATGTTCCCATTGTTTGTATGGTTGTACAGATGCTTGAATTGATGCCGTTTAAAAAGCTCCTTGCAGTCTTACCTGCTTCTTGCACTTTCTCTACGGCCTTGGTGATTTCAGCTTTCAAAGCCTCTGTCTCGTCTGCAGACACTGAAGCAGCCACTGGAACTACTGTAAAAGAACACATGACACAAGGTAAACCAAACACTCATCTCTGTCGAAGCCCTTTCATCCTCATGCATGTTTTATTATCTGCTGAAGCTCATGGTGCTATCTGCAGCATTTATCAAAAGGTCTTAGCCCAGGATTTTTATATAGGGGACATTTCCCCTAAAATCACTGCCTGGTAGACGCTGTCTGACCTGTCAGCTGAGCTACAGCACTGGCTGCCAGGGCCTCTGTTGCCAGGGTGACAATGTCCTCTGTGGTCACAGTAACTATGTTGATCTCGCTGTCAGAGGTGGATGCCCCTGCACACCCATCAGCCCCTTCGTCTGCGCTGCCTCCGGCTAGCACTAGCCGCTTCATGCCGGCCTTGCCTTGGTGGACGGTCTTGACGTGAGAACGCAGATTGTCCACCCGGTTGAACCCTCTGCCGCATTTGTCACACAGGAAAGGTTTCTCCCCTGAGAGAACACGATGGAGAGAAGTAAACACAGTGTGAAAGCTCTGAGCTCTGCTGAATGTAAAGGAACAGTAACAGTGACTTAGCTGCGCAACAAAAGAAACGCCGTCTCCCTATTTCCTCCATTAACGCAAAGCCTCATCATTATTTGACATTAATTTTGTCCTCACCTGTGTGAATGATAATGTGCTTCGACAGGTCTCCCACATTAACAAATGCCTTGTTGCACATCTGACACTTGTGCGGCCGGACATTGTCGTGATGCCGAATGTGATTGGCCAGTTGGCTGGACTGCACAAACCTGTCCAGAGAGAGACACAAGATTTTTCCCTTATTTGGTTTCCAACATTTACCCTGCTGTTAAAGGACCAGTTTACAAAAAACACATTTTCTCACTTACTTCTAGTGGCAGTTTTTGTTTTGTTTAATGGTAGACTTAACAAAACACTTGCTACACAATACATGTGATTCCCACTATTCCCTATGCAAGGTAAACGTTTTAACCAACAGCTTATGCTCTCTGTTCTCTTTTCACATATTTCCAAATGTCCTTGTTAAGTAGATTAAGTAAAACAATGTCAGGTTTTAAACCCAAGGTACAAGTGAGTTTGAAAAAAAGACAGCACTGATTTATCTGCTCGCTGACCTTTTGCCACAGCGATCACACACGTAGGGTTTCTCTCCGGTGTGTTGGCGGACGTGAGCGATGAGTGAGCTGGCCTGGGTGAAGGCCTTGCCACAGATAAGACAGACACAGGGCTTCTCTCCTGGCAAACAGGAATTAAGAGTCTCACCATGGTGGGGTGTAGATAATATTTGTGCTGGGTTTCAGATTGAAAAATCAGAATATGTCTGTTTGTCTGAATGTCATGGGAGTACCTGTGTGGATGCGTTCATGCCGCTGCAGAGCTCCAGGGTCACTGAAAGCTCTCTGACAGTGCATACAGATGTACGGTTTCTCTCCACTGTGAACCCGCAGGTGTCTCTTCAGATTTCCTAAAAAGCAGATACCATCATACAAAGGTTATGCCAGATGCCTCCAAGCAAAAACACAACTACAGAAGTCAACTTCCTTTAGATAACGTGCACAAACTGAAAGCAGATGATATGTTTGCTCCAGATAAAATGGTGATATAATGTGTACTTTATGGTATTCTTTTGAATGGTTAAAATAACATTTAAATTAGTTAGTTGGTTGGTTGGTCTCTTACTAACTTTAACTGAAATAAATCATGAGAAGAGTGGGGTGGCATTATTTTCATTATAAATTTATCTATTGAACAAAAGTCCCACACTCAAAGATATACAATTTACAATCATAAAAAATCTTTAGGTAGAATTTCAATTAGCTGAGAAACAGCGTCAAGTCAAGTCAGATTTATTTAAATATCCCAATAAAACAATCACAAATTAGCCTCAAGGGGCTTTACAATCTGTGCAGCGTGAGACACCCTCTGTCCTTAGACACTCGATCAGCATAAAGACAAAATCCCCCCTCAAAAAACCCTTTTAATGGGGACAAGATTCTTTCATTTTTCTCCAAAAAATGTCTGCACATTTCTTTGATCCATACTATCTATCTTCTTACCTGAAGTGGTAAACTGTTTGCCACATTCCTTGCACTTGAGAGGCCCGTCTGCAATATGGATTTTTAAG